GGGGCGATATGCTGACTCTGTAAACTGCTTAGAGAGGGCTGAAAGCCCTATGAAGCGGTATATAAGTCTAACTGCTATTGCTATTGCTATTGTCTTTGGACAATGCTGGCTCCCTCCGCTAGAAAATGAGCAGCGCCCCCTAGAGTCGGACTTGACACAGGAAACCCTTTACCTTTTCCTTTAATTGTAGGGAAAAGAAGCTAGTGAGGAACGCATCCGAGAACTCTGCGACGGAATGATCAGCGGTGAGTACAGCTGCAAATTCTTGGGCAAGGAGATAATATTTATTTTGCCAAATGGATCGTTGGTGACAAGCGAGTGGGGTGGTGGCCTAGAGGGGGAGCTCTCGCCTCACAATCAGGTGTCTGTGAGTTTGATCCTAGGTAGAGGCAGATATTTCTCTCTCTCTGGGCACAATGAGTAAATACCAGCTGTGAACTTCGCATTGGTGACAGGAAGGGCATCCGGCCAGTAAACTCTCAGCTCCATTTAGTTGCCCCGACTCCACTCCACTGCAAGGGATTACGGGGTTGTTAAAAGATTAAAAAAAGTTTTCGGTGACGAGTGCTACAACCTGAGCAAATCCTTCGAAGAGTCCGAAGGGCTTCTGTTGTGGCCTGCCAGCGGCCAGTGAAGCCGGCAGCAGAGTCGGACAGTGAGAAGGTTGGGGAGGAAACAAGTTAGAACGAAGGAGAAATTTCCTGACAGTTAGAACAATGAATCAGTGGAACAACTTGCCTCCAGAAGTTATAAATGCTCCAACAATGGGAATTTTTAAGAAGAGATTAGATAATCATTTGTCTGGAGTGGTGTAGAGTTTCCTGCCTATTCTATTATATTCATTGGCCTTCAAGTAGGACTTAGGAATTTGACATTTCTGAATAAGCATATGAGATACTGGAATAAGGATGGTTTGAAATCCATCCCTTGGGTAACTCCAGAAATTTTTTCTTTCCCCTTCTTTTAAAGACCCTGTAGTCCCTTGCATCAAGGTGCCGTTGGGGCCACTGAGTGTTTACTGGCCAGATTTTCTCTTTGCGCTCAGAAACATACATATTTACCACCAGGGGTGGGTTTCAAAAATTGTTCGAACCTACTCTGTGGGCATGGCCTCCTTTGTGGGAGTGGCTTGCTGCCCATGTGACCTGGTGGGAGTGGCCAAGACGATGTTATTACTAGAT